GTGCAAAGGCTTTTTTTTTTTTTTTTTTGGCTTGGACTATCTGCTTGTGAAATGTTCCTATCACTAAAATCTCTTCCACATAAGGAAACTGACCCATCACTGATTACTTGTCAGTGACTGGTGTCCTCAAACAGGGACATAAGCATTTTTAAGACTGCTACGGAAAGTAGTGTGAGATGCTTTGAGAATTACTTTGTCTCATGTCTACTAACAGTGAATCCATTTTTAAGCCAGTACAGTAAGACCTTTGCTGACTGTTGTCAACAATGAATCACTTTCCTGTCATAGAGGGAACCTTAAGAAATGCTTCAACCCAGCAGAAATATCTTGTTCATAGTCACTCCCCAGATTCTCATTTCTTCTGTTATTGGTAGTGGATTTTGCAGCTTCCTAAATCACCTCTGACTCATGTCATTGCATCCACATGCCTTTAATTCTCTCTGCACACCATTATGTATGTACCAATAGACAGCCAGAGAGTTCAAAGGCCTCACAGGATGTGTCAAGCAGAGCAAGGCAGTGGTTAGAGAATTGGGGTCTATCTCTAGCTTTGCCTGTGACTTCTTGTAAAAGGTTAATGAAATTATTTAGGTGAATAAATCCAAGTGCATGGAATTAGATATTTAAAAACATATATAGGGGGAACACGGCCAAATTTTCAGGAATGCTTAATTCCCAAAATTTCATTGATAGCAACAGAATCTGGTATTGTTTGGACCCTTTTGAATTCAAACCAATTTACATAGATTAAAAAGACAAATAAATGTTAGTATCTAAGTTTGAAAATATCCACCATGCACTGTCTTTCCTTCAATTGCTGGAAAAAAAGAAAGAATTATTTTCCCCGTGGTTTCATAATGTGCTTATATATCCTGAACTGACAGGTGATGTGTGAAAGCAACAAGTCTGTCTGTATAAAATCAAGCATATTTTAATATAAGAAAAAAACTAGTGACTAAAAGAAAAGAGAGTAATACTTGAAAAAGAAATTTGGTAGCAGATGTAGAGTGCCCCTAGCATTAGGCCAGCCTTTTACCCAAGAGAAAAGCTAGTTCACTGATGTCTGTAGGTGGTAGAATCCCATCACGGCATGACTCCTGCCAAAAAACAAGATCTGCATATCGGGGAATTCTAGCCATGCCCAGTACCTACATTGACTTACAGGGGATTCAAGAGGAAAACAGCATCCATTAAAAAATAAATTGAGCTTAACTTTGTTTCTTTCTATTGCTATTTTCATAAAAGCCTGGGAGGTACGGGACAGTTTCAGAGACTTTAATGGCAATTCTTATCTTTCAGGCATCGGATCTCAAAATCAAAGTTTAGGTAAGTAAAACTGACTTGGTTTTCCTCCTTTCCATTGGCTTTGTTCCTTACTTTGTGAAGTGGTTTACTCCTGCATCTGTGGGACACAATGGTGATTCTAGGAGATACTGCCAAACCTGTCAGGCTTTAGTCAGTCATCTACCAAAAATGAAGATTTCTTAGTTTCATACTGAAATAAGAAGGCACAGGGACTACTGACAGTATTTCACTCAGAAATACCTATCTGATTGCTACCTACATATCTCAAGCCATAAAATATAAAAGCAGAAGAAAAAAAGTTCAACCACATAATGATACTACATCTATCAACAATCAACCCTGTCAGCTCAAGGTTCCCTTTCCTACACTTTGTTGCTCTACTCTGCTTGATTGTAAATCTTTCAACTGATGAGGTTTGCATCTTATTTGTGAAATGCTCCCTTTCACCATGGGAGATGTGGAGTTTTTCTGGTGGTATTTGTCTTTCTGTTGACTTAAAGCTTTTGCAAATGCAAAGCCATCCCCAGGTGGTCGTCTGTGGGTTTCCATTGGAAAGGCTGACTGACCTCATGGAACTTGGTTATTGAGGTCCCAGTCCATTTCTGCTTCTTCAGTAAGAGCCCAGCTGCCTCCATAACTCTGAATTCAAAGTCAATTCTATAAAAAAACTAAATTAATTTTCAGAATAACTGGAACAAGTGAGCAACTCTGTCCTTCAGCTTACCTAAATAATGAACAGTAATGTAAATTCAGGAATGCACATATGTGTACGTACTGCCTATATGCATCCCTGTGCATAGAGTTGCATACATGATCACATTCCTACAATCCACAGATTTATTTGTATGTAGGTGTAAGCACAAAAACCCACTTGTATCATCACATGGTCGGGTGCATGCACATTTGTGCACAAGTACACACAAAAGTGTGTGGGATTGCTAATGATTTAATGACAGCATGAATGTCTAAGTATTGTGCCCATTTTGAAAGTTGGGAAGATCATTTCTTGTCCCAAATCCACTGCAAAACACACAACTCTTATTAAATGTTTGTGCTAGCTAGACTGGGTGCCTTTATAAATTGCATAGCTAAAACAGCCTGGATTTGATTACCTGTTAAAATGTTGCAAAATTCTTGGCCAGTGTGCAATGTTCACATTGCCTGGCTTTAGTTCATGTAGATGCTGAACCCTGACCTCAAGCACAGCCATAGTTTATCACTGGAAATAACACATAAGAGAAGACTAGCCAAGAAAAGTTCTCTCCTCCTGTAATGTTGTGCATGCGTGCACAACACACACACATATATGTATATAATATCTATATAAAACTATTAGATTTATTTTACAGTGACAAGTGTTGCCTGGAAACTGGTTGCTATGCAAGTTAAATTCTGAAGAGTAGGAGGTGTGTAATTAGCTTTAAATATCTTCTGTGGTTAGTAATTACCCTCAGAAATCAGTGACACAAGGGGATGTGTTCATGGAAGGCAAACTTTAAAAGGTCTGTTGATTAGCAAATGGTATCCTTAGTTCCAGGCATGAAGGTGAGATGCTGAGGTCCCTTAAGTTGTTGGGTTTTTTTTCTGTTCACAGTTAGTTCTTATATTGGGCTTACTCCTGAACATTGCTGAATGTTGGAAATGTTCCATGGATTTTATTTGACCTCGTCTCTCCAAGGACTTAATCCAAAGGTCTATAGTATATAGAGGGTATCTTTTCATTGACTATCCTGAGGCTGGGCAAGGTCCCATTGCAGGCCACAAGCACTAAATACAAGAAGAATAATTATTTTTGTGGGAACTAGGCTAAAAAACCTCTCAGGGTAGCTGCGTTGGATGTCTTAATCAGATTAAGACATTGCTTGAAGAGGTTTATTCACCCTTAAATGTTGCAAATTGGCTTAAGACTAACTTTATTCCTATAGCTAAAGGAAGGATGATCATAACTGTCGACTCGGATGAGAATGAGACAACATTTCTCAGGGTGAACTTTAATGTTATTCTCTACCACTCTTGAACAATAAATCAAGACTAGAGTCTCTCTTGACAGAGATTTGCAATAGCCTAAGGATCTCTATCTGAAAAGAACTTTTCCAATTTTTCAAGTCGCTACTGGCGCCGATGGAATCGATTCTGCAGAAGAAAGTGCCGTGCCGCTGTCAAGTCCAATGTTTTCTACTGGTTGGTGATCTTCCTTGTGTTTCTCAACACCCTTACCATTGCCTCTGAACACTACAACCAGCCAGACTGGCTCACGGAGGTCCAAGGTGAGGAGAGACTGATGGTTCTGTTTGTTGTGGTCAGTGTCAAAAAAGGGGGCTGAGGGAGGAGCTAGTGCACACAACGTAAAAGGAGCATACACAGCTCCGAATAGTCCTCTGTCTGTGGAGGATCTTAAATAATACAACAAAATATCTGCCTGCAGTGGGAGAAGTTTCAGGGAAAATGCAAGTTCCTTGATTCCAGCCAAAGCAGTGTTCCACTGGGTGTAGGTGAAATCAGGAGCTTAAGCTAAGTATATATTTGCAGCAACTGGATTTCCAATTTATGGACAGCTACTGGGAGCCACAGTTTCTCCAAGGTTTTCCCTGAAATGGCATTTATGATAAATTCCAGTTACCACGGAGGTGAGGAAGGAAGAGTGATTTGTAAAGTTCTTCTGTCTGCAGAACAGTTGAATCCTCACTGGAGGTGAGAGCAGCTGAAAGGCTTAATTAAGCAGCAGTAGGTAGCACAGCAGCTCTTCTATTCCCACTCTCATCTGCAGATGACAAGTGTGATGGGAGGTCGTGCACAGGAAGGCATGTCCCTGCCATGGAGGTTGTGTGGTTGTGTAATACATCGCAGCTGTATGTGCAGTACATAAGAATTGCTGTAAGCACCTTTGTAAAACATTTCTGTGAATGAGATGCCCATGCTTTTGAAGTCCATTCTTTGACCCAAGCTGATATGAAGTTAACCTTTCAGACTGATCCCAGAAGAGGTTTCTTATAGGCAAGGGCCTATGATGGTTAGATGTGATGATCTTTTGACTAAGTTTCATTAATCTGTTTCTGTTTGTTTTTCATGAGACACTGCCAATAAGGTGCTGCTAGCTCTTTTCACGGCAGAGATGCTGCTGAAGATGTACAGCCTTGGTCTCCAGGCCTATTTTGTGTCCCTCTTCAACCGCTTTGACTGTTTCATTGTGTGTGGAGGAATCCTGGAAACGATCCTGGTTGAGACAAAGATCATGTCACCACTGGGCATTTCTGTGTTGAGATGTGTTCGACTCCTAAGAATATTTAAAATCACAAGGTACTTTTGTGCTTCTCTGGGAATGAAGGAGGGCTACTGCTCAATGCACAACATATATAGGTACAAGTCACTCACATCCCTGTTTTTTCACTTTTTCTACTACTAATTGGGTAGTGAGAGTGCTAGGTTGACAGTCCTCATCTTCTGAAGTCTCTGGCAGGATGGGGAGGGCTGTACAGACTGGATATCCCTGATGTGAACGGTAAGGATCGGTGAAGAGTCTGGCATAGGGGGCTGGAGACACTTGATGGCATTCAGATTGTTAAACCAAAATCTGGAAGGGTAACGAGAGCTGAGCGTGGGCTCTTAGGGTTCCCTGCGAAAGGGAAAGTGAAAACAAAACAGCAGATAGCCTTGTGACCTTTTCTGTTGCTTTATGGTGACAGAGAGGAGCCTGAAAGACTGCTTTGAGCCAAAACGACATTGGACTGGGGAGCCCATGCCAGTTCCAGTAGACTCAACAGTGGCCTGAGTGGGAGATAATGTCAACACCAGCAGCTATAGGCAAAGGACGTTGACAGCCCTTCTCCTTCAGAGGCGTCCAGCATGAAGCAGCAGCTTTACAAAGAAACCAGACTTTTCCAGACTCCAGTCAGCCCTCTTTTTCCTTTTCCTTCTTTCTCCTCTCCCTCTGCATAAAGGCACAGTGGTGTCTATTAAACAATTGCTGCTTCCTGCAGTCAGGTACCTCCAAAACACCAGCTTGGTTTGGCAGGAATTTTTCAGCTTGAGGGGGGGTTGTAGGAGAGAGCAGCTCCCAGCTTACCCAGATGGGAACTCTTGGAACAAATCTATCCAAGTGCTCACCCGAAGCAGCGCAGGGCCTGCTTTTTCCTGTGTGGGCACCAGTCAGCACCTTATAAAAAGCTTGACTGAGGTGGT